TTTTTATTTAGGTTTGAAATATAAGAATATAAACCAGTCTAGCTCATTAATCCTTACAGTTAGAATAATAATTTTTTTATTATTTACCATTAAAAACTTAGTATATTTTTATGATAATACTAAAAATAATTGATTTAAACATAACTTTTCTAGTCCGACATCATCTTTGATGAGTGGAATAGATTTTTCCTAACCTCACCTAACCTCACCTAACCTATCCTAACCTAAATTAAATCAAATGACCACTGGTAAGTTAGCTATTTGAGTTTAGATCTTTTCGGTTTTAGGTCTTTTAGGAGATTCCCAATAAATACACATACACTGCGTTCATATGAATATACTGTAGACCCTGTAGAGTATTGTACTTTATAGCTTTAGAAAAAATTGTGTACTTGTTTATATACTTTTTTAAAAGATTCAAAAGTTTGTGATAAACCTTACAGTACAAACATATAGCCCAGTGTAGAGCACATGTAATTGATTGTAAATACCTGGGTCATCTGACAAAAAACAGTTCACAATAATCATAGCATTTAATGAATAATTTTGTGTCACATTTTGTAGAAATATTTTTAATTATAAAATATTTTTGTGATGGAAAAAATTCCAATAAATAATTTAACCTTTTAATAAAAATCTAACAGGTCTTAGCATTTTAATTGCTTACACATATAGTCCAGTATACTTTACAAAAGATTTTATAGTTATGACCTTTTAGATTTTTACTTAAAATATGAAATTATTCATTGGATTAGTTGCCGCACTTATATTAGTCAAAGTATTTATAAAAGTATTACCCCTTTAAGAATTTCCAACCCATTTAAAAAATATTTATATTTGTGTATGAGTTTTGAAAATTAGATTACAAAAGTTGTAATATGGCCAGTAGTGACCAAGATGCTACATACTGATATAGCAAAATAACTAAATATAAAACTAATTATTTTACCATGTCACTAAATATGGCATTGTACAATTAGAAAGTTGACAAAGACAACAGAAAATGGCTAATATTTACCGAGTATACTAGTCAATCTGAAAACTGCGAACAATTGGCCCTGATACTGGAAGAGTCCGGTCAAAAGGATGCTGCCAAAAAGTTGCGAGAATACAATACGCCTGAAAGGATAACAGCATACACACTTGACGTTGAACTACCTGTGCAATTAGCATCCGTGTTAAAAAAGGCCGGATCCCGGGGGTTCCCTATGGATTCAATTCCGAGAGGAAAGGCGTTCATATTTGTCGCCATTAAAGAGCTACTAAATGAAGCCAAACGATTTGCATCTGTATACAGGCAGTTGTATTTCGACGTGGAAATTCACCTGATCCAAAACTGCCAACAAATGGTGAGCCCCTTGCAAATTGTGGCCAATCAGGTGTACCAAGGTAACGCACTGATTGTGATGTATATCGGACACGGTTATGATGAGAAAATCTGGATCAATGATGGCGAGGAGCAAAGAATTTGTAATATTGTGGATATATTCTCAGTGGGTAAGTGCGATAACACGTTCAAAGAGGTGCCCAAGATCTTTGTGTTCAATTGCTGCCGAAATAGTAAGTTTTGTTTGTCTTTAACATTGAAATAATGATAAAAAATTTAATATATGGTACTCTTTAAATGTTTTTTAAACATAAATAGAGATACCCGTAACAGCTTTAGTTGGCTTTCACATTACTGATAATAATCAAGTTTTATTCGATATGTCTCCGATAAGTAAAAACTGGCACACCAATAACACCCGGACCTACATATGCCACACGTGCTCAGAAGGTATTTTCAATGCAAATTTACATTAATTATATAAGCGTAATTCATAAAAATTATTTGGGATTGACGTTAAATATTTAAGGTCAAATTGCCTGGGCAGATTTTAAAGCTGGTTTCACCACATTTGGCAAAATATTAAGTCAATGTATAGCCCATTACGCTTGTGACTTGAATATACTACAGATATTTAACAAGGTAATCAAAAAAATCAAATCTGCTACTTTGAAAATTTAAAACTTAATGAATCTTGCACCATTTTGTAAACACTAGAAGAGTTCGAGAAATCTTCCGGTCAACGTCCTGAGATACGCCAGTTCATGGTGACCAGGGACTTGTATTTCAATCCGGGTCAACCAGAAAATATCAAAAACTATGTTACAAGTGTCAAGTTGATTGAAAATTAATATATTTGAATTTTCAATTATTTTATTTTAAAAGTTTTTCTCAGTATTTTATATTATATATTTGAGTCAAAAATAAAATACCCGATATAACATTTTAAAATATAATTTGCATATATTTTGTTAAATGTAAGTTTATTAGTGAGGTTTACTCAATACTAATGCTACTTATATTAAAAGGTATAGCTGCAAAAATTTCGACTAACTCATTATAGTTTTATATTATATTTTAACAAAAAATATTCCTACGAAACTTACAAATGTTCAAGATGTCGAATACATTTGAAGCAATTGTTATTATTTAAACATATTTTAATGAAGTATAAATCATTCACCTGTATAAATATGAACTAAAAAGCTAAAAATGTCTTGTTACTTTGTACGATAAAAATGTTGTTAAAATGCTATTTAAAGAATATTCTTGATATTAGTTTTTAATAATTATGACTGCATTTTATTAATATATTGGAAAATTCAAAATTTATATAATCTATGCAATTGGCTCAACCCCTAAATATTTGTCTGTATAATAAATAATTATACATTTGAATACTGATACTATTATCAGTAATCAATCATATTATATTTTAAAATAAATTTGAGACTTTATTGGTTAATTAAAATTAAAATTCTTAGATTTACAATTTTAATTGATGAAAAATGTAGCGAAATATTTAATTTTTAAAACCAGCATTGATAATATAATCTCTATATTATACAGTAGATGCTTATATTAAAAAATTATTCTATTTATACACAATAAAGTAATAAACAAGGAATGCAAGAAATGCTATAAAAAACCACATTTACAGTTATGCTAATATAGATTTAATTATATTTTCATAAATTATGAATAATTATCGCTAATCAATTAAATCTATAAAATTATGCTCTATAACAATTAAAATTGTACTTTGTATTAATAAAGTTAAATTAGTTTGAAGAAGGTTATATGAGAGATAATATAGGGGAGGGCTTGTGAGAAGAGGGCAAGAAAGGAGACCCATAAGTTTCAAAAAGGGTTTAGTGATATATTCAGCACTTTTAAGCTATTTTATCATTTTCAAGAAATTTTGAAAATTTTCAAACCATTGTTGTGGATCTTATCAAGGGACTTTTGTGTACGTTGGTCGTACTTTATCGACTATATGTCCCTTAATGTCCATTTGTCGCTCAACGCTATGGGATTTTCTGTTCCGCAACTGATATATTTTGACACACCCGTCATGCACCATCATTATACACCATTTTCCAATAGGATTAACATGGGCCAGAAAACAGCGTCATTACGTAATCGGAAACACTTTTGCCCAATTTTGCTGGGATTTTCCATAGGAAAAACAAAGTCCTTAACGGCTAAACTGTCAAAAAATCCCATGTTGAATCTATGGGATTGTGTTAAAGTGAGTCATTAGCGTCATTAATGACGGAGCGGGGGAGGTGGGGAAAGTGACTAAGATATTTTGTTGGAAATATAATTTTCATTTTGATTAATAGTATGAATATTTATTAGACATCAAAATACTAGTGTTGTATATACTCAGCTTAAATAGTAATAAATAGTAAATGCATACATCACTAGTTGGTTTCTGGAAACCATATCTGTGCGCCAATGAACTAGACGAAGCTTAGTGCTATACACATATCGGGAAAGAGTAACAATCTGGTCAGATATCAAATCAAATGTATCTGGAGGGCATAAAACTAGTCAATTTAGTTTATTTAAATATAAAACTATTTTGAACTGGGTCATTTGGCCATCGCATATGCCATGAAACTGGATTTTGTGGTCAGTGTTCAGGCGCCCCTAACAGTGGCCCCTGAGGTAATTCTGACCATTTAACCACCCGAAACTAATTTTAATTACATAATTTATCATGATAATTGATAATATTTATAAAAATTTCATCGCTACAATCAATAAATAGCCCCCGATTATTCCGGAACTTACTTAATGGTGGCCATAATCTGCCAATGTTGTACTTAGTCGTGTAATTAACATAATTTACATGAAAAATTTATTTAATCGGTAAAATGACCAGTCTTTAACTTAAATGCACATTTCACATAACCGTTAATGTTATTTCTACGGGGAACATAAATATATGTGCATTTAAGTTAAAAAACTTAAGTTATCCAGTCTTAATTGGAAACATTGATGGATGAACATGACCTGTGTGGTTATGATTGTCGAGAATAGTTAGCCAGTAACATGATTAAGATTTTAAATAAATTAAACTTGGCGAATCAGGTTAATTAGCTTGATAAATTTACGTTCAACCATTACTGGCATCCTCATTTTTTCCAGCTTGATTATTAAAAACTAATATCAAGAATATTCTTTAAATAGAATTTTATCAACATTTTTATCATGCAAAGTAACATTTTAACATAATTTTAACATTTTTAGTTTTCAGTTCATAAACATAATACACATAAATGACTTAACTTCATTTAAAATTAAAATTAAAATTTTAAATAATAATTTATATTAATAAAAATTGCTTCAAAAGTATTCGATATCTAGAGCATTTTCAAGTTTCTTAGGCATATTATTTGTTAAAATATAATATAAAACTATAATTAGTTAGAGTCAAAATATTTGCAGTTATAACCTTTAATATAAGTAGCATTAATATTGGGTAAACCTAACTAATAAACTTATATTTAACAAAACATATGCAAATTATATTAAAAATGTTATAGCGGGTATTTTATTTTTGACTCAAACATATAATATAAAATATTAAGAAAAATTATTTAAAATAATATAATTAAAATTTCAAATATATTAATTTTCAATCAACTTGACACTTGTAACATAGTTTTTGATATTTTCTGGTTGACCCGGGTTGAAATACAAGTCCCTGGTCACCATGAACTGGCGTATCTCAGGACGTTGACCGGAGGATTTCTCGAACTCTTCTAGTGTCTACAAAATGGTGCATGATTGATTTTGTTTTAAATTTTAAACGTAGAAAATTTTAGTTACCCTGTTAAATATCTGTAGTATATTCAAGTCACAAGCGTAATGGGCTATACATTGACTTAATATTTTGCCAAATCTAGTGAAACCAGCAGCAAAATCTGCCCCGGCAACTTGACCTTAAATATATATCGTCAAGCACAAATATTTTTTATGAATTAAGCTTATATAATTAATGTTATTTTTCATTGACAATACCTTCTGAGCACGTGTAGCATATGTAGGTCCGGGTGTTATTGTTGTGCCAGTTTCTACTTATCGGAGACATATCGATGAAAATTTGATCATCATCAGTAACGTGATAGCCAACTAAGGGTGTCACAGGGATCGCTATTTATGTTTAAAAAATATATTTAAAGAGTACCATATATTAATTTTTTTATAAATATATTATTTCAATGTTAGACAAACAAAACTTACTATTTCGGCAGCAATTGAACACAAAGATCTTGGGGACCCCACTGAACGTGTTATCGCACTTACCCACTGAGAATATATCCACAATATTACAAATTCTTTGCTCCTCGCCATCATTGATCCAGATTTTCTCATCATACCCGTGTCCGATATACATCACAATGAGTGCGTTACCTTGGTACGCCTGATTGGCCACAATTTGCAAGGGGCTCACCATTTGTTGACAGTTTTGGATCAGGTGAATTTCGACGTCGAAATACAACTGCCTGTATACAGATGCAAATCGTTTGGCTTCATTTAGTAGCTCTTTAACGGCGACAAATATGAACGCCTTTCCCCTCGGAATTGACTCCATAGGGAACCCCCGGGATCCGGCCTTTTTTAACCCGGATGCTAATTGCACAGTTAGTTCAACGTCAAGTGTGTATTCTGTTATCCTTTTAGGCGTATTGTATTCTCGCAACTTTTCGGCAGCAACCTTTTGACCGGACTCTTCCAGTATCAGGGCCAATTGTTCGCAGTTTTCAGATTGACTAGTATACTCGGTAAATATTAGCCATTTTCTGTTGTCTTTGTCAATTTTCTAATTGTACAATGCCATATTTAGTGACGGGGTAAAATAATTAGTTTTATATTTATTTATTTGGCTATATCAGTATGTAGCATCTTGGTCACTACTGGCCATATTACAACTTTTGTAATCTAATTTTCAAAACTCATACACAAATATAAATATTTTTTAAATGGGTTGGAAATTCTTAAAGGGGTAATACTTTTATAAATACTTTGACTAATATAAGTGCGGCAACT